ATTTGATTTAGTGGTGCACCTTGTTCAGATCAGTGAGAAATTGTTGGGTTGTTTCAGAGCAACCATTGTGCAAGGCGATAATGTCATCCATGTAACGCATAAGTACAACTGGTTGGTTGGGAAAAGGGGAGACGTATTTGCGCCAAAATTCAGCCATAAAAATGTTAGCATAAGAGGGGGCTACTGGGGTACCAATCGCTGTGCCAGTCAGCTGGAGAAAATTTTGATTGTTGAATGAAAAATTATTGAGGGTGAGGACTAATTTCAACAGTTTGCAAATTTCTAAAGTTTGACGTGTGTTGTAGGGTGCAAGGCTTCTGTGGGCTGAGCGGCATGCCTCAATACCTTCTTGGTGTGGTATGTTGTTGTAGGCATACATGTTGACAACGCCTATGGCCAAAAAGTTAGTTTCAGGAGTGAGAATGTTTTCAGAATTAATAGTTTCTATTTTTTTGAGAACGTGGAGATTATCTTTCACCCAGTGGTTACCACAAAAGTCAGGGACAAGGGGTTTGAAAATGCTGTCCAACCAATAGGAAGCTCTGACAGTAGGACCATTTATTTGGGAAATAATGCCTCTAAATGGAGGGAGTTTAGAATTGTTGTTTGCTAACTTGTGGATTTTAGGTAGGCCATAAAAGTAGGGGCACGACACCTCCCCGTGAAGAATACACTTAGACAAATCCGGGGATATCACGTTGAGGTATTTGAGATGGCGGATTTGGTCCTGAATGGCGCCAAGGTGAGAGGAAGTGGGGTCGGAGCTGAGGGGTTTGTAGAGAGAAGGGTTATTCAACATAGACGAGATGGTGTTGTTGTAGTCAGTGGTGTCCATGACCACAATGGAGCCTCCCTTGTCAGCTTCACGGATAGTAAGATTAGTGTTATCAATGAGTTCACAAAGGGCTGACCTTTCTGCACGGGATAAATTGTCTCTTTTAGAAGGTTGTCTGCAAGTGTTTCTGCTATGGAGCGCTGATTTTTCTATGTTATCACAGTAAAGGTCAAGGGCAGCATTACGTCCTGGAGGAGGAGTCCAATTACTCTTAACATATAAGTTAAGTGGTATAACGGAAGAAGGAGAAGGGTTAGTTTCTGAGAAGTACTCCAAAAGTCTGCAGCGTATCGTGTAATCTTTTGTATCCTGTATGAATTGGAAAAGGTTTAAAAAAAATTTGCGTAGGGCAAAAACCTTTACCCTTGGATAAGAGTTTAACTTGGGCAGATGATAAGGGTAGTGAGGACAGGTTGATGACATTTCCCGAAGAAGAGTGTTGGGATGATGTGTTAGGCATGAGGAGTGGCCGTGCTTGGGATGAGGATATAGTATGTGGAGGAGGTAAAGGGGGGCAGGCGCTGTCCGTTAGTACATACGAATTAGCAAGTGTAAGGCCATCAGGGTTCGTAGAGGTCAAGTTAGATTCAAGAGGAGTATGGGAAAGAGGGGAGACAGTAAATACAGTGTGGGGTTCATAAGGAACGGTACTAGAGGTAGAGGCAACATGGGGACTTATCATCATCATCATCATCATCATCATCATCATCATCAACAACATCATCATCATCTTCATCGTCGTCGTCTTCGTCGTCATGTGTTAAAGTAGGAAAAATGTACTTGAGACTAGGACAGGGTCGGTCATATTTAAAAAGTTGTTCGTATATGGCTAGATGTTCAACGCATCGCCCGTAAGGCTTCATCAGGAACATAGCATCCGAGAAAAAAAGTGATGACATCTTTGCAACAAAGCATTCACTATAGGTCTATAGGTAACGTATTGGTGCCATTTGGAAAATATGGCAAAGAGTCGAGTAACTAGTTACTGCCAAGGTCCTGACTGAGTGTATCGATACGTTCAAAGTGGCCATAGTTAGTGTTCAGAGCTCACGCAGAACTGGCTCAAATTATTCCTTACCTCCCAA